GATTTGCACAGTGGGGCATTTTTTTTTTGGGGGGGGGGGGGTTATATAATAAAAGAATTGTAAAAATATGTGGTGTCTTTATTTTTTTGTGATTATTTTAAAAGGGGCTTCCATATTCTGATAAGTCCCTTTTGAACAGACCCCCACAACCACTGGGCTATGGTTGTGGGATAGAAGCCCTTGTCTTCATCAACATGGAGATGAGATGCTTTTCCAAGGGGCATCCCCTTGGCAAGGTACCACCATTTTATGGGCATGTGGCCTGGGGGCTGCATGCTCATCCCCCCCTTTCCTGGTCTGCCAAGCTGCCAGCTCACATAAGGGTCTGGTATGAATTTGAAGGGACTCCATGCTTGTTTTTTTCTTATTTGTTGTTCATTAGGGTTCTCCTTAAAAATCATGCCAGACTTAAAGGGTCCTGTATGGATTTTGTGGGGGTCTCCATGCTTGTTTTTTTCTTATTTGTTGTTCATTAGGGTTCCCCTGAAAAATCATGCCAGACTTAAAGGGTCTTGAATGGATTTTGTGGGGGTCTCCATGCTGTTTTTTATCTTTGCACAGGGTCCCTTTTGAGATCCATACAAGACTTTCATGAAGGATTATGGTCTAAAATGCATATTTATTAGATATATTGGGAACCACACACTGTTTTTTTTGTGTAGGATTGCCCATTAACATTTATAGAAATCCTCATCTAGGATAAGGATCAGGTAAAGATCAAGGGAATCCCCAACCATTTGTTTACAAACAGAATGAAGCAGCCAAAAGCTGTCATTCATCAATTTAAATATCGTTTTTCTCTTTGTAAATGTCAGTTTTGCTGTAGTAGATTGTATTCATTCTACAGATGTGCTACTTTGAAAGTGGTTTCAGGGTATCCCTGGGCATGTTATTTAAAGGATTTGTGCATTTTTAATGTTCCATTTAACAGTATTAAAATTGCTACTTATTGCTAAACTGAATTTTGAAATAAAATGTTTTTCTTTGGTACATATTCCCCAGGACAGTGCCACATGATCCCCATTAAATTTTTTTTTACAATCCCTTTCCCTTATAGCCTATAAAATGGCCAGTACTGATTTCTAATATTCCTCTTCCATTGATATCAGTGGGGTTCGGATTTGGAACCCAACTTCAGTACAGTTCAGTGAACTTGCACCAAACCCAGGTACACTTGGCTCAAACCTATTTATGTCCAGAAAGATTATTCAAGGAGGTTAGATTTACACCCTCTATATAAGTGTAACATGTAACATGTTTCAAAAGGTGAACTTATCCTTTAATTTCTCATTTTGTGAAGGCAGTTTTTACATAGATTGTACATGCCCAGTTTCTGTTATCTTGAATAAAGGAAACTCACATAAGCATATATACTATAAAAGCCAAATGTTTGTAGACACCTGACCGTCATGCCATAGTTGACTCCCTTTTGCTGCTATAACAGCCTCCATTCCTCTGGTAAGGCTTACCATAAAAGTTTGGAGTGTGTCTGAGGCAAATTCTGCCCATTCATCCAAAGACCATTTGTGATGTAAAAGAATACCTAGCTCACAATCAAAATTCCAATTTATTGTGTTTTGTGCAAGATAGTCATTTGTTTTAACCTCCTTGGCGGTATGATTCTTTCCGATTTTTTGTGCTGAAAGCGGTACCATTTTTTTGCATGGAAATATGTAGTTTTTTATTGTAGGCTGTAATTTTTAGGAATAATTCACTGAAATTTGTCCGAACAAGAGTCTATTAAACATTACGGATATGATAAAATTTGAAACACGAAATCATAAATTATAATTTAATAAATAATCATAAAAAATAATAATATAATAATAATACATTTAATTCAATAATATAATCAAACCAAAAACACTGAAATTTGAAATACAGAGGCAAGTTCGCACATCGCTGAGCAAAGTCGCAAAATCGTTTTAAGTGTCTGATGACAAATTTCCCCCACGAATCATTATTACTCAATTCTGCAAGTGGTTCTGATTTACTATCGCTGTTCTAAAACCGCTTTTGACGTAAAGGGGCACTTTTTGGACGCCATGGACTTTTCTAAGTTTCCAGGCAAAAAGAACATTCAAAATGCAGGCAGAGCACAGGACAAAGCAGTAGGGACAAAATATATGTGAAATGCATTGAAATAGCAATGACAGCAAAAATGAAATTTTTTAAAAATTTCAAATTTCCCGTCCCAACGTCACAGGGACCGGAACACAGAAGCCGGATGCTGGCACCGGCCGGAGGAGATTGCCGGGGACGCTGCAGTGGACACATCGTGGGAGCGAAGGACAAGGTAAGTGCTGCAGGGACCCCCAGACCAACGCCGCATGGTAAGCCCGAGTGTAGCTCGGGGTTACCGTTCTTGGTATAGAAATTTTACCTTGAGCTACACTCTGGAATACCACTAAGCAGGTTAAACAAACACCTTGGATATGAATAGTAAATGAAAAAAAAGGCAAGCATTAATTTTCATGATTTTATTAAGGAACATTTCACATAGTACAGATCCATATTTTATTTTTTTCTTAATAGATTCATAATACCCACATAATTATATTTTTTATGCAACATAAATATTAGCCTTTGAACAAATGCCTTACTCAATGGAGAATTCTTACTTTTGTACTGATTTGCAATAGCAGCAAACTGCAGCAACCAATCAGAATTCACTCTTCTGAAACAAGACAAATTCAAAGTGTATTTTCATTGGTTACTATGAGGTAGTGCACTTAAGAATTAGTACTTTAGTATATGAGCCTGTTCTTAAATAAGGGTTTTAGTGTAAAATAGATGCTGCTATGGATCTGGGCCCGTTAGTAAGCTACATCATATTAAACACACAGTATGAGAAAATAAAACTTCTCAAAAGCCAAGTCAGGCTTTTGAGGAACATTTCCATTTTTAGGGTCAGTTTGGTTAATTCAGATTTTTTTCACCAAGAATACAGATACAATGAGGATTCTGTTGTACACAATGGTAATGGATGAATGTATAGCCTCTCATAGAAAAACATATTCTATGGTCAGTTAATTAATGAACATCAGACCAACATTGGCTCTCTATTTTTATTTTCATGGCTATAGAGTAAACATAGAAACATAGAAAAGTGACGGCAGAAAAAAGGCCAAGTGGTCCATTGAGTCTGCCTTTTTTTCCTAATTCATAAATGTTTTTCCATTTTTTTGTTAACTTTTTGTCTGTGTATAGATCTATGTTTATCCCAGGCATGTTTGAAGCCACTTGCTGTTGACTGACTCACTTCCTTTTAGGAAGTCTATTCCAAGCATCAACTACCCTTTCAGTAAAATAATACTTTCTAAGATCAGTTTTGAACTTTCCTCCTGTACTTTAGAAATTTGAAAGTAGCAGGCATAATCTTATTTATACAAGAGGGAATGAAACCTTTGTACATGACTTGGGATTTGAGGATTTAAAAAAAACACAATGCTTCTAATTAATTCTATATTTAATTTGCTTTTAGATAATTTTAGATAACATGTGCCATGGTTATTATGTCTATGGACACCTATAAATTAGACCAGACCTTCCTAGACAGTTGCTTTTGTTGCCCTGATATGAGATTAGCAATGGGTGTGTCTGCTCGATGTAAGGCCATAAATTTAGCAATATATATGGCTACATACTCATATAATCAATGGGAAGTTAGACTGATTGGGCCTCAGATGGTGCATATCTTATTTGCATTGCTGGTTTTAGAATTGAAAATAATTCCTTTTGAAGTTACTAATGAAATGAGACAAATAGTTTCCAACCTGGTAGTGTACTGAAGCAAATGCCTTGTATTGTATTGATAGTCCTGCTGTGTGGCTCCAGGTCCTTCCTAGCTTTATAAGTACGCCCACCAATAAAACAGTTGAGACATGGCTTGGTGTGACACTATTTATCCTTAAGCTATGAAACCACCTTTCCTATCTAACATCTTTTAGTTTCACTGACCTAGTCTTAAACCCAAATTCAGGCAGACATGCCTATTTAACCTCAGAATACAAAAACTCAGGCAGTCTTACTTTTTTACTGTTAAAATACAGAAATACAACAGACACTTTAAAAAAAAACTCAGTTAAAATCTTTTTAAATTTAAGATTATACAGTTGCATGATATACAGTAAGTCAGTAATTAATAAATTATAAAAAAATCCCTACAAAAACTGCCAAGATCTCATAATAGTTGTGAGGTTTATGAATTCATTATACTAATCTAGAGAGAAAAGTTTATTGGCTGGAAGAACTTTTTCAGTCTATAAATGATTGATTTCCTGATTTGATCTGCCATAGCTGGACAGATTTAAGAGCAATGGGTGGTGAGATATTTGCCTTTCTCAGTCTCAGATTCCTTAACCACTAGCCTACAGGGCACTTATACCCCCTTCCTTCCCAGGCCAATTTCCAGCTTTCAGCGCTGTCACATTTTGAATGACAATTGCGCGGTCATGCAACACTGTACCCATATTAAATTTTTATCATTTTTTTGAGACAGATAGAGCTTCCTTTTGGTGGTATTTAATCACCTCTGGGATTTTTATTTTTTCTTAAACAAACCAAAAACCATTGAAAATGTTGAAAAAAAAAAGTTTTTTCTTAGTTTTTGTTATACAGTTTTGTAAATAAGTGATTTTTCTCCTTCACTGATGTGCGCTAATGAGGCTGCAGTGATTGGCACTGATAGGTTGCACTGATGGACACTGATAGGTGGCACTGATGGGCACTGATGAGGAGGCACTGGTAGGTTGCATTGATGGGCATTGACAGGCATCACTGATGGGCACTGAAAGTCAGCACTGATACATGACACTGATATATGGCACTGATAGGCGGCACTGATAGGCAGCACTGACTGGCACTGATAGGAGGCACTGACTGGCACTGTTAGGCAGCACTGACTGGCACTGTTAGGCGGCACTGACTGGCACTGATAGGCGGCACTGACTGGCACTGATAGGCGGCACTGACTGGCACTGATAAGCGGCACTGATGCGCACTGATAGGTGACACTGACTGGCACTGATAGGTGGCACTGATTGACATTGATAGGTGGCACTGACTGGCACTAATAGGTGACATTGAAAGGCAGCTCAGATGGGCACTGATATGTGGCATTGATGTGCACTGGTATGCACTGATATATGGCATTGATGTGGCACTGATGGGCACTGGCACACGGCACTGATGAGCACTGACTGCTGGCACTGATGGACACTGACAGGTGGCACTTCTGGGGCCACACTGATCATCAGGGCACACTGATCATCAGTGCCCTGATGATCAGTGCACATGTCTTCTCCGCAGAAAGCCGATTACCGTCTCTCCTCTCCTCTCGAGCTGTCAGCGTGACAGCTCGAGAGGAGAGAAATGCCGATAACCGGCATTTCCGTGTTTACATGTGATCAGCTGTGATTGGACACAGCTGATCACATGACCGAGCCGACATCTTTGACTCTTTCCATGATCCGCTGTGTCCGAGGGACACAGCGCACCGGCGATCGCCACGCTGCACGCTCCCTGAGCTGCGCATGCGTGGTGAGAATGGAAGGATATCATATGACGTCCTATCAGAACGAGAGAACCACCTTGCGCCCACCATTGTACTATATGTACTATATGGCGGGCGGAAGGTGGTTAAAGTATAACTAAAGGCAAACCTTTAAACCTTTTTTTTGGTTTGGATAGAGTGCAGAGGGATTAGAAGGCTTGTCAGTTTTTTTTGTTTACAAACTAATTTTATTGACAAATGAAAAATAGCACAAATGCCCAAAGGGAAAGGATCATATAAAATATTACAAAAGAAAACAAGAAGCTTTCGGGAAATACAATCAGTTCAATATGTAAATAACAGCCATTTGGCCAGATCTTCATAGAACAATATAAGGATGCAAATAAAGCATGCAGCTTGTCAGTTTTTATTGCTCTCTATAGCCCCCATTAGGAAGATTCATCCTCTCTATTTCTCTTGTTTACCATTATCATTGAAAGTGAAAATAAAACAAAATGTCCCCAGAAAAGTCCCCAGTAAATTCCTGCATTTTGCAGGGATTTCCTCTCACTTCCTGGTTGGCTTTGGGACAGGAAGCGAAGGGAAATCTCCACAATAGGACACAGATGGTGAAAAAATTAGCCTCCCTTACTCTATCCATAATAAAAAAAAAGTTTTGCTTATAGTTCCACTTTAATTGCCCAATGGGTAGCTGTGGTTGCAAAGCTGGAAGGACCCAGTAGCTCCTGATTTGGACGGATCTACCTTGGTCTGGCCAGGGGCTGGGAAGGCAGAGAGTCCGCAAACACGGTGCCCCCTGAGTAGTTGCCTCAGGGGTGCTCTGAGTAGCACTTGGGTGTGGGACCCCACGTTGTGAATGAGCACATGGTCACCGCGTTTAAACACTTTTTGCACTGCGCCTCTAGGACCGGGCCTTTTGGCCAAGTCCTGGGCAATTTTTTTGCTACAGGCCTCAGGGCCTGGTCAGTGCACGATTTGGCACAACCACCTTTTTTTTATTTTTATAGATTTATTTATTTATTTATTTATTTATTTTTTCTCACCCCACGTTTGTCACTTTTACTTATGTGTTTTCTTCACATGATGGAGGGTGTGGGTCCTCGGGCCTGCCCTGAAGTCTAGGGGGAGGATGTGTGGCCTTTTGGTTCCTTCCTCCTCTGATCCCTAGGGGGTTTTCTCTTCGGGAGAGCCCCCTGACCAAGTACTGGATGTCCGCTTCGGCTGGACATAAGGAACGGTGGTCCACCAGGCCTTTTGGCCAGGAGGACCAAATGGGAACCTTGTCCCCCTCAGGAGCTTCGTGCCCCGGGGGATCAGGGTAGTGGTCCAACCCCTTCGGGGGTAGCACAAAGCACACCCCTAAGTGCACTTTTTGTGTGGTGTTTTTGCACTTGCACTTTTTTGTTGTGAAACACTTACGGGTTTTTCGTTGTAGTTTGCACGTTTGCGGACTAGAAAAAAAAAAAAAAAAAATGGGTAGCTGTGGTACAGAGCCGGACTGGCCATCGGACACACTGTGAATTTGCCTGGTGGGCTGGGGTTGCCTGGATAGGAGAGGCAGCCGGGCAGCACATAGAGGAACAGATCCATGCATTTCACTCCTGCAGCTAATGAATGCCCGCTTCTCCTCTCCCTCCTGCAGGCATGCAGAGGTGGCAGAAAAGAAATGCATGGACCGGTTCATCTATGTGCTGCCCGGACGCCTCTCCTATCCATCTCCTGCTGCACTGAGCTTCTGTATACTCTTCCAGTGGCTGCCCCCCCCCCCTCATCCCCTGCAAAGCTGCCAAATTCCCCCCTCCCTGCAGCTGCTGCGGGGATCTTCCAGGATAGACTGTCCCCTGTGCCTCTGAGCTGAGAAAGTATCTCTCCCACAGCCCAGAGCCATTGCTAACAGTTCCCCCACCACCACAGATGGGAGAGGAGAGAGAAAGCTGGTTCTGCCCTTCCTCCTCCCGCCCTCTCCTCCTGTGTCTGTCCCATCCACACTCCCTGGCAGTCTTGTGTCTTCTCTCCTTCTCTTTCTATCTCACCAAAGCCCCCCAATAGGGCTCCTAAAAAATAAAATGAAATATAAAATTGTAAAAAAATAAAAACCTACGGACAGTAGTGGCGGAACTACGGGGCTCCAAGGAAATGTTCCCCAGGCTTTGGGCTGCTTAGTCTAAAATGCCCAGGCCTACTTTTTGGCCCAGTCCGGGCCTGCTGTGGTATATGAGTAGTGGCAGTTTTGTGTATTTAACATGGCTCACTCCTTCATTGTCAAAATCATATTTAAAACTTTTGTACTGCTTGCAAAGATTAGCAGCCTAAAGCATGAGCATTGAACTCCTTTTGCAAAAATACACTACCCTAGTGCAACACTACCCTGAACTGATTCATTTTGAAAGGCACCACAAACTGTTATGGTAGCAGGCAAAGCACCCGTGCTGCAGTACACCAAAAAACTCATGTGAATAATGAACTGGGTGCCTTATAGCAGTAGACGTTAGTGCAGAGTAACGCATTATATCAATGCCTGTCCTCTAATGCCATGTATATTGTGAATGGGCTCTTACTGTCTCTGACTCTAATAACTGAATGACTGAAGTGAATCATCAAACAATCCAAAATGTAATAAAATAACAATCCCAGCATAATAAATCTATATAATATACTGTATATTTTCTGGGATGATATCAGTGCTTCAATATATGCAATAACATCACCACTGGCTAACATTGAAGAAAAAACTTTTTTTGGATCACTTTTGTGTAAGTAGTGAAATGAGTAAACAGATAATAGAAAAATATAACTATATAGCTGGGAAGACATAAATATAAAGAAAATAGCCCTACTGGATCCATACTAAACAGACAATATGGTACTCTTTTTCTGTGAATAAACAGAGCCTTGTGTGGGTTATCTAAGCTCATTTACAGAGTATACCAAGGTAATCCTTTACTACTGAATAAAATAGCTGTCAGGGCTCCAGGGTATGAACAGAGGTCTGTGACTGATGCAGGGAAACGCAGGCTTCAGATAAGTTATAAACAATATAATTTATTAAAGACTAACAATACAAACATAAACACAGAGCAATACTAAAACATAACACAGTGCAAACGAACCAAACCAAACCCACAGATAACAGTACATACAATGCAAGCGTCGTCAGGCAGGCCGGGTCAATAACAATCGGGCAGGTAGGTACAGGGGGAGCAAGCGGAGAATGGTCGGGGTCACAAGCCAGGTTCAGCAGGTAGCGGGCAGCGTGGTACAGAGGGTCAGGCAGAGGGATGGTCAGGAACGAGCCGGGTCAGAGCAGGAGAGGGTCAGCGTAATCAGAACAGGCAGAGTTTGGCAACAAGGAAACGTACTAGCAGGAACACAGGAACAGGAACAAGAATGCAGGATTACAAGATACAGGGCCCAGGAAAACACACACACCAAGGCAAAGACTGCAGGTCTGGCCATCATTTAAATACACCTGCATAAGCAGTTTCAGGTGTTTGGCTGACTGCAGGGTTGAGTCTCTGATTGCTGGGAGCACCCGCTGGCCAGCCCTGGTACTGCAGCCCACAAGGCAGGTGAGTCCCACCATTACTGGCAAGTCCATTCCTAACAATAGCAATGAAAGTGAGCGCACTTAGAGTGTAAGCAGCTGGGCATCCAAGGAAACCAAATAAAAGCCTTGTCACAAACACATAAAACTATATATGCATATAATCAACATGTACCAATATGATATAGTAAAACATTATTCAAGATAATAAATATAAAATGTTTTATAAATCCCAAATGATGGAAAAACAATCCATGACAGTTCTGATATCAAGTATATCGTGATCAATAACTTCCAGTCTGGTGACGGTGCTCTCTGTGCTAAAGTACAAAATGTGCACTAACCAGAAGCCTAATTGAATTACGCAGTGTATAAATCATGCAGATCCACTTCACTGGTCAGGGTCCAGACTGGAACTCGGGGTTCTCTTCAGGTAGGTATAGATATATGAATAGATCCAGTGAGCCAGAGTACCCCTTTAGGGCTGGGTGGGTGAAGATTCTAAATTACAGGTGCTTCCCTCTGGTGGGTTGGTATCTGGACCACAGGCAGGGCTCTGAAAATAGCAAAGCTCCTGTGCCCTCATTATGGGAATGCAGGAGTTCCATCAGAGGAGCAGATGCACCCTCAGCATCAATGGTGGCGGCTGCTTCTTTATCCTGAGCAAGCTCACAGAGCACTCCGGCTGCCACTCGCTGAATGTTCTCCATTGGAGAATACAGGAGCTGACCTGCGACTTTACATGTCACCAGAATGTTGCTGGGAAATTGTTGTAGAGTGAGCCAGGCCTTATGAAAACCCACTGGAGCACTTTAAATACAAGCTTTAAATTGCAACTGTAAGCAAAGTTAAAACAAAAAAAATGCCCTCCAAAGTTATTGCTTTCACTCACTAGATGTCCTTAGACTTTGAAATTCCTGTGAATGTAAGGCATCATGGAGCTGCCCCTTGAGAAAGTGTGATTATGGGGCCTTGTAATCAAATAAAATGATACAATTAGTCAGAGAGCTACACCGTGGAAAAGGTAAGTTAAAAAATGCTTTCAGGGAGGTCCTCTGGGGTAGCCTCAGAGTCTGGATTTAGACTCAGGTCAAGTAAGTCCTACACTAACTGTATATCCACTATCCATCCCTGAGTTCTTATTTGTAGGTGTACAAAGGATTACCTTTGTACACTTACCCCACTTCAGACAAAAGTTGCATCTATTTTGTATGTTTATTATACCAACTTTGCCCTTGTGAGGTTAATGTTAGAAGAGTAAGAAGCTCTCAATCCTTTTGAATATTCTGAAGTTTTTTTGTGTATTTGTGTGCATGTGTGTATGTTTACGCATCAAATTATATCCTGGATATAATTATAATTGGAGGTATATATATCCTAGTTATGTGATTTAGCATACTATTTCTAATGGCTTAAACCACTGTAAAACTG